CTGAGAATTTCCTTTTTTATCAATATAATTCCTTTTAAATCACATCCTTTTTACTGAGTTATAATTTATATCCCAAATAAAGAGCACATTTTTGGTGTCACCTGTATAACCACAACCACAATCAAGATATAAAACACTTCCATCACACCTAAAAAGTTTCCCTCATGGCCCTTGGTAGTTAACACCCACCCACCTCCCCTCAAGTCCCAGTTCCAGGCAACCAATGATCTTTCTTTCACTGTAAATTACATTTATCTGTTTCATATAAGTGGACCCCTTTAGCATTCATGTTGTTGCACGTATTAGTTATTTTTTCTCACAGAGCAGTGTTCTATTTTATGGATATTCACAATTTATCTGTTTGCCTGTTGAAGGACATCTGGGTTGTTTGCAGCATAGGGTTATTATGAATAAAGCTGTTATAAATATTTATGCACAGTCTTTTTGTGAGCGTGTCTTTTTATTTCTCCTTGGAAAACTGCTGGGTCATACAGGTAGTGTGTGTTAAGTTGATAAGAAACTGCCGTACTGCTTCACAAACAGGCTGTGGCATTTGACGTTCTCACCATAAGCTCCAGTTTCATCACATCCTGACCAACACTCAGTATTGTCACTCTTTTTTAATTTTAACCATTTTAGTAGATGTATAGTGATATCTCGTTGTGGTTTTAATTTGCACTTCCCTCATGATTAATGAGCATCTTTTCATGTCCTTATCGGCCATCTGCATATCTTTTCTTTATCCATTTTTCCTTGGGTGTGTGTGTTCTTTTTTTGGAGGGCGATGGACAGCTCACTGGTATGGCGATCTGAACCCTTGACCTTGGTACACATTCTTAATAAGTCCTTTGTCAAATAAACATAATATATATTCTGAGACCAATTTTGTATCTCCAGCAACAGGCACTGTGCCTGGCACATTACAGCATGTGGCCGGGTCACGTGGAATATTAGAAGTTATCACTGAGCACGAGGTAGCGTTTGTAGAAGTCAAAGCTACCAATTCCACGTCCTTTATAGAGAGTCTCTACACAGCCTGTTTCACCTTCCCTCAAAATTCGAGGGTAAAAAGAATCTAGGAAGTAACATGTATTTGACACCATGTACTGTGCATTTCTCAGTATTGATTCTACAGTCAAAATATGAAGCTGGGTGTCAGAATTTTTGAGCTGGGTCAGATCATGTTTATGCTTGCTTTCAGATTCGTTCTG